TTGTACACATTTTCACTGTAAAGTTTTTAAAACTTTAAAAAGATATCAATTTTTTTTTCAGCAATGGACCATGAATTATTTCAAGAAGGATCATCATCCAGTGTTCCACAAGTTTCTGTTATATTAACTGTTCGCTTACTTATGCAAGGAAAGGTGTGTGCATACTAAAAATTTGTCACTTATCTTTTTCGGCTTTTAACCATCTACTTAGATAGTTTAACTAGCAGCTGATACATAAAAAAATATACATATCTGTTTATGTGTGTATCTGCAAGCATTCCTTTATCGGTGTGTGTGTGTGTGTGTGTGTGTCTTAGTGTATGTCTTAGTATGTGTCCTTTAGCGGACATCAATCAAAAATGAACGCTAATTTATTTAAAAGGAGAAGAAAATAGCGCATGCACACATATATAACCATAGACATAAATGAGTTATATACATAATTAAAGTATAAATGTAGATTGTAGTTTGTTGCAGGAAGTAGGAAGTATTATTGGTAAACGTGGAGATCATATTAAGTTAATACGAGAAGATTCAGGAGCCAAAATTAATATTTCCGATGGTTCATGTCCGGAACGTATTGTTACAATTACTGGCAATGTTGAAACCATTAATAAAGCTTTTTCAATGATCTGCAATAAATTTCAGGAGGTAAGGTAAAAGTCAGAGCTGGGATCGTTTTTTTTTCTTTCTTTGACTTTTAAGCCACTTTCTGTAATTGCTTGTACAATTCGAGCATTTTTTTTTTTTGGACAATTCTTGGAATATATTTAATGATATTATTTGATAAGAATGTAGTTCAGTTCGTTGTTACTTTCTTTTTTTTATTATTTTTGTAGGATATGCAAGCATTACCGAACAGTGTACCCAAACCACCGATAACTATGAGGTTAATTGTTCCGGCAACCCAATGCGGTAGTCTTATTGGAAAAGGCGGATCAAAAATTAAGGAAATTCGTGAGGTATAATTAAATTACTGTTTTTTTTTGTGGTTTTTGTTTTTATATGTGTGTTGTATATATGTATGTAAAGTTTTTTTTCAACACACTATTCTACAATAACAATTGCAACAAATAAACAAAACAAAAAAAAAAAGCTTCAGAACATACTCAGAACTGTTGTCCATCAGAATAACTGTCACTCATCAATAAACTGAATTATTTTACTCACGTTCAAAAATTACAGACGTCTATTTCTTGTCCATTATTGAAGTTTGCTAGACTATGTGAATCTTTTAAAAATATTTATAAACTGAACCGACACTTTTTAGTCGATCATTGAATAAGCTTCTATTTCATTGAATCCTTTTCCGTAGCCGCCGTCTTCATCTCTGTCGTCATTGTCTTCATCTTCTTCCTATTCTTATCCTGTTTTTTTTTTTTTTTTTATTTTTCATTTATATTTTTTGAGCCATTGTTGCCTGACAACAAACAGTCTGTCTGATTAAAGTCAGTTAAACTTGATAAATGGAAGAAACTTTACGTTTTTTGTATTCTGTTTTTGGAACGCTCAATTTTTTTCCCTGGTTTATAAAGATATCGACAACAGAAGAAAAATGGACGCAATACAAAAAAAGCAAAAAAACTTCTTCCTAAGCTCATTAGATTCTTTAGCTATTTCTGAGTTGAAAAAAATGAGAAGACAAACCACGTTTTTTCTAAAGTTCTTGCCCATCATTACCACTGTCATTTTGCTAACAACAACAACAACAGCAACAAGTAAAAAGAGGGAAAGAAAACAAAAATAGAAATTTAATTGAAAAATCTTTAATATCAAAAAATTTTTTGCCCTATTTCTTATAGGCTACAGGAGCCTCAATACAGGTGGCAAGCGAAATGCTACCAAGTTCAACGGAACGTGCAGTAACTATCTCGGGTACTGCGGATGCCATTGTTTTATGTATGCAACAAATATGCCATATTTTATTAGAGGTTTGAAAACCTTTTATCTTCCTCCATATTCTTTATCTACTTTTTTGAGTAAATTGAGATGTCAAAAAATTTTTGCTTTTTTTCCTCTATACAGTATTATTTGTACTGATTCAAAGGAAAATAGCGTTTTTCTTTTTTTTTGGAATATATGAAATGTTTTGAAGAAACTAAATTGAAAAACGACTGAGTAAAATAGGGTTAATCTCCAATAACAAAACAATTTACCGAGGCAGAACCAAAAAGAAACTGAAAAAAAAAAACATTTAAAAATTGAATAATTCTATCCAGCAATACTATTAATTCAATTATTTTTTTTTTAGGCTCCACCAAAAGGAACCACCTTACCGTATCGGCCAAAACCCAGCTTTAATCCGCTTCTGTTGGCCAGTTCCGCTGCTGCTGCAGCCGCAGCTCAACGTCAGGCTGCTGCTGCAGCTGCACTATTGCAACCGTTTCCAACCGCCGTATTCACTTCTTCAGATGTCAGTTTTCCATCAAAGAAAAACAAAAGAAAAAAAAAAACAAACAACAGCAAAAGAAATTGACAACAACAGTGGCCCAACAGTAATAAGAGCAAAAATAATATAATAAGAAGGGCAAAAAAGAAAACCTGATTTAGTTGTCACCCAATAACTGCAAAATTAAGGCAACAAAAGGCAGAGAAGAGATAAATAACAAATAAAAAAGAAGAAGCAAGAGCAAATTTTAAGGCTTTTATTAATTTTTTCACTAAGATCTATGCTTATTCAAAATAACAGATTTTTTATGGCATTATTTGTTTAGAACTTTATTTTCGGAAACTTTTTTTGAACATCTAAAGCAACAACAATGAACAGTCACTGACTGTATTTAGATGCTGCATATTAATGTTGCTGTTATTATTCAAAACATTAACAGCAAAAGATTAAAAGAAAGAAAAAATTGACAAAAGAGAAAGTTAGATTAAAATTTAATACTCATAAAATGTATAATATTCTAAAGAATAAAAATTAACAATGCTTTTTTCAGTCTTCTTTCTTTCTCAATCTCGACTTTTTTTTT